TCCAGTGAAGCACTTTTGAGGAAGGAAAAGCCCTCTGGACAGGCGAGGAGAGTGCTGTAGCTGGTTGTAACATGTAGCCCTCCGCCCCTCTAGTTATGGACTTCTGATAGGCTAGATGGGCAGCTGCCAAGTCTGGGACCCAGCAGTTCAAGCCACTGGGCAATGAGTCTTCCTTTAGTTCTGGGCCCCCAGATGTGGGCAGTGAATTCAGCAGGCAGTTACTGTCCCCGTTCTCTATGATGCAGTGGTGGTGATATTTACACATTACTCAGATTCATGGGAGCCTCATCTCCATCTGGTGTATGTTGGCAGCTTCCGCTGTGCAGTCAGAGACCTCTCCCCTGACCCCTCTTGAGGGCAGGGGTCACATCTTCCTGGTCTCTTTGTCCTCAGAACCTTGCCTCATGCTTGCCATGAGGCTCCTCAGTGGCTGTGCAATGAATGCTCCTTGCACGAGTGAAATGGGCAGTGTGGAATGTGAGAAGCAAACCTCACTGGGGCCCTTGCTCTCTCATCCATCATCCCAGCAGTTTCTGGGTGCCACGTTGCTATGCTAAGTCTTCGCATTGCTTCATGTTACCATCATGCTGACTCTGCTACCACCTCCTCTGAGGACAGGTCATCTTGGCTGACAGAGGACTTGCAGCCCTACCTGTCCCGAGAGCTGCTGAAGGGCAAAGCTGGGCTTCACACTCAGGTGGGCAGATGCCAGAGCTCCCATACTCGGGTGTTCCGTGTTGTTTTCTGCATGCCTTCCATGAAGTTCCCTTGTACGAAACCTCCACTTTGGAGTTCACTCTGGCTCTGGTCAGGGCCTCAGATAGGTGGGAGGAGGCCATTGCCATGCAAGCGCTGACTCCTGGTTCCATGACTTACCAGCTGCTTGGCTTTGGGCAAATTGCTGTAAATCTCTGTGCTGTAATCGGTTCTTTTATGACTTGGGATGGAGCATCTCTGTTGGGAAGCTGCTAACTAGGCAGTTGCTCCAATTCCTGCCCTGCTTGCCTGGGGCTGTTCCTGCTGGATGGTCCCTCCGGATGGTCCCTGCCTTGCCAAGTGAGCACAGTAGTGGCATGGAGAGGCAGAGCTCACCTAATTAGTGTGGGTGGGCTAGTTTTTCCTTAGCCTGGCCAAATTCTTTGTAGGCATCTGATTGCCTGCCAATGCACATGGCTGCCACAGAGTTAATCCGCTGCCCCAGGGAAGTTTATTCAGCTGGCTGAGACGAGCCTGGGACTTGGGGACACATAGTCCCTGTGATTTGCTGCCCCTGTCATCAGGAAACATTACTGCCCTGCCACAGCGTGGGGCACCATGAAGGCATGTGCATTGGCTCAGAACCCACCTCTCTGTCAGGTGGGCCACAGGCCTTGGTGTGGTTGGTCTTGCATGTGGATGTTCAGCCAGGACCCACAGGCTTCTCCCTGCATGAAACCAGGTTAGGGGGGCAGGGGCCTAGACTTAGAGAGCTATTAGCACAGATTTATACAAATATGTGTGTGTGTGTGTGTGTGTGTGTATGCAGGCTCAATGGGACTTCCCAAAGCTCATGGAAGAACAGAACTAAAAGTAATTTATTTGGTGCCAAACATTTTTGAAATCCATGCATGCTTTATTCATAATGTACATTTCTCATGAATGATTTGAAGGTCCCTCATATGCAAGCATTTTAATCTTTTTTGGCATCAAAATAAACTTACCCTTTAATTCTATTTTCTGTGAACTTCTTGAAGTATCCTTGTGTGTATTTCTTTATAAAAGCATGATAAAAGCTCATTGCAGAAAATTTAAAAAATACAAAACCATTTGAAATTACCCTTGATCCCATGACTCCAAGCAAACTAATATTAGTGTATAGATATGTTTTCATTTTTTCTACTTGAGTACTTTCATGCATTTGAAATTACATTGTACGTTCAGTCTGGCATCCTGTTTTTTTTTTTTTTTCCGTGTAACTCGTTTCCATCTGTTCTAATTATAAACCGAATTATAAACCGAACACTGTGACTTGGCCCACGCTATTGTCACTTTTGTCTGCTTCCCCATGCCAGGTCCTGTTCATGGCTGGAGGGGCAGAAATCTGGTGGCAGCTAGTGTTAGAGTGCGCCTGCTGACTGCTGGGCCGGGGTCCCACACTCTGCAGGGCTAGCTCATCCTCACACGGCCCTGGGGAGGGACTACTCACTTAGGACAAGGAGGGAGGGGTTTTTGAGGCATGGGAGGAATCATTAACACTGCCCAAGTGCTGTTCTAGTCCATGCTGTGTTCTTTTTTTTCTTTTTTTTGACAGGCAGAGTGGACAGTGAGAGAGAGAGACAGAGAGAAAGGTCTTCCTTTGCCGTTGGTTCACCCTCCAATGGCCGCTGCGGCCGGCGCGCTGCGGCCGGCGCACTGCGCAGATCCGATGGCAGGAGCCAGGAGCCAGGTGCTTTTCCTGGTCTCCCATGGGGTGCAGGCCCAACCACCTGGGCCATCCTCCACTGCACTCCCTGGCCACATCAGAGAGCTGGCCTGGAAGAGGGGCAACCGGGACAGAATCCGGCGCCCCAACCGGGACTAGAACCTGGTGTGCCGGCGCCGCTAGGCGGAGGATTAGCCTAGTGAGCCGCGACACCGGCCCATGCTGTGTTCTAAGCACTTGGCTTCTATTACCTTGTTGACCTGGCACTACAGCCCATCTTACAGATGGCTAAACTGACAGACACAGATGTTTGGTGGCTCACTTAGGACATGCAGCCAGGGCTGGCAGGTGAGGAGAGATGCCCTGTCCTGAAGCTGGTGCTCCTAACCCTCATGGTGCCTGCCTCTCTCCAGGCAGGTGCTGGGTCTCAGTGTTGGGTGCTGGTGCCATCCATTGATTGATTGATTGGTAGGAGAATGAGTCCCTTGGATATAGTATCCTACTTGTCAGGGCATGGAAGGGTTGTGTGTATGTGTGTGGGGGACAAGGCCCACAGGAACGCAGCCCATGAGTGGGGCTGTGGAGGACAAGTGGGACAACTCTGTGGAGACAGTGGGCCTGGCCCTCTCCACAGAGGCAGCAGGCTGTGCTGGTGGAGGAGAGCTGGCAGCATGTGGGCCAGAGTGCCCTCCCGAGGCCCCTCAGTGTGTGCGCTCCTCCTGCTGCAGGAGCGCTCTCTCAGAGCCTGCCCATGCTTCCTGCCCATCCCTGGCTGTGTGAACCGGGCAGCTGACACAGTGGCTGCCATTTACAGACTGTGCTCTAGAAACAGCTTGGAGAGGATGTTGGGAGGTGAGGTTTTGCAAGGCCTTGGTGTCTTGTCTGACATGGGCTGTGCTTAGGAAGGGGGTGGCTGCTGGTGTGGCTCATGCACAGGCCATGGAGGCAGTCAGCTTGTATTTCCAGTGTTCTTGGGGCCTTGGAACTGGCCCTAGTAAGCAGGGTCCACTTGGCTCTCTGTCACCTGGCATCTCTTATCCATTCCATTCCTGAATGGATTGACCGAGCTAAAAAACAAAAAAGTGGAGTTCATTAAAATCCATGTAATATCTTTATAGACTTCCTGGGTTGCTGGAGGGTCTCGGTCCCATCCGTGGTGCGGGAGGAATGGCATAACTTCCGTCTGGAGCTGCTACGGCACCCAGAGCAGGTGTCCCGGGGTAGTTTGGACCTCAGGGTTGCGGTGCAGACTGGAGAGTAGGAACACACACAGGCTTCAACGATCTTTGTGGGCTAGGGCAGTGCCTTGCCCACCAAGGATAGCTGCTGTGAATGTCTGAAGTCCCCACGTGCTGCGGCTACACAGGAGACAGACCACAAAGCCAGTGTGTGAAGGCGGTTTTGAGTGTGACATCTGTTAAGCTGTGCCACATGCCAAGATCGTGCTGGACACAGCACAGGACCAGAATCCTCCTCCTACTAACCATCGCTGGCTTCTCTTCCTCCCCTCAAGTCTCTCTGGGAAGGTTTTCTCGTGCTGCATACCTGGACCCTAGGCTCTGCAGTGCACTGCCCAGGAGCCATGACTGACCCACCCTGCATATGCTCAGTGTGTCTGTGTCATTCTGCTGGCTGACGGAACACTGGACCTCACTGCTCAGGGCTGTGCGGCATCTGTGCTTGCCCCTGTGAGCAGGAGGGCAGTGGGGCTGGGAGCTTCTCAGTGGAGCAGAGTTGGAAGCGGACCTTGTGGCACAGCCATTGGAGGTTGTCAGTTTTCCCAGGTGTGCTGGCTGCAGAGAATACTGGGCCCTGGTTGGATGTCTCACATCTCACTCCCAGTTACTAATGAAGGAGGGATGGCCGCTTCCCAGGCCACACTGGGTGTCCCCTGTGTCTCTTCCTGTCCTTCCATAGGGTGCCTTGCTGTGAGTGATGATGACTCCGCTCCATTCTCTGCAGAGGTCACCGTGTGCAACCTCTGCACCAGCCCCCGATGCAATGATGATGCCCCCCGCCCTGTTCTCTGCAGAGGTCACCGTGCACAGCTTCTGCACCAGCCCCCGATGCAGTGGCCGTCGCCCCCATGCTGTCTGCAGACAAACCGCAGCTCAGGATTTACCATTCTGCATGGTGCTCCAGGCCCAAGGCCGCTTCCTCGCTGGCCCTGCCTGAGGCTCTGCTCTTAGCTGTGTGTTTCTAATTCTGGATTCCTTTCTCTGAAGCAGTGTCCCTGCTTAACATGGGTCTGTTTCCCTCACAGCAGTACAATACAGAAAATGTTCATGGTGGAGACACTTAGCTTCACTTGCCAGAGCCACAGGCCTTCATTTCGTTTGCAGATCCCGTGGCTCCCCAGGAGGGATGGTGGCCTGGCCTTGGGTCTGTGCCTGGGTGTGACGCATTCTCCCTCCTCTTTGTGCCTTATGGCCTCTTGTGATTCAGGGCTTTTCCTAGGACTTTGCTCTCTGACATCTTGAATGGTTCTCACCTTTGTTTTTGGGCGTGTGCCAGAATTTCTCAGCCGGGTTGGTGTCAGTCTCATTGTGCCTCTGCTCTGCCATCACCATCAACATCACTATTGTTGTTATCATTGCAGAGAAACTGTATGGCAACTTCCTGAGCTGGAAGCTGGAAGAAACCCTTGCCCAGTTCCCCCTGCAGCCTGGGCGAGCAGCCACCTTCACTGTCACCATCAAAGTGAACCTGGACTTCTCCTGCCAGGAGGGTCCCTTGCAGGACCTGAGTGATGGTAAGTGGCTCCCTGATTTCTGAGAGCTCACCTGCTCCCAGGTGTGTGTTGTAGTCAGCTCTCTGTGGCACCCACCACCGGTCATGTGACTCGCTCAACCGAGACCTTGCCCCTGCACTTGGTTAGCAGCGTGGCTTACTGCAGGCACATTATAGAGACAGTTTCTCAATTCCCACTCTTGACCATCTTGTCCTGATGTGCTAGGTGGTTGTCCTAAGGGAGTGGAATGCTGTGATTTTTCCCCCAAGTGTACCTGCTGTGTTGGTGGAACACACAGTGGTGATGATGGAGTTCTCCCATCTGGTGATGCCAGTAAGGAGACGGAGCTGGGTGCAATGGGAATTGTATCTGCTGCAGCACCAGGCCTGGCCGCGTGGGGACGTGAGTTCACAGGTTAGCTGTGTCAGGTTGTCACATGCTTTTCTGGAGGCCTTGGGGGTGTGTTAGTCAGCTCAAGCTACTGTAACAAACCCCACACCTGGCCTGGCCTGACCACAGACATTGATTTTCTGACAGTTCTCAGCATTGCAAGTCTGACCCAGGTGCTAGCATGGTTGGGTCCTGGTGAGGGAGGCCATCTTCTTGCTGTGTTCTCATGGGGTGGAGACAGATCAGCTCTCTGGTATTTCTTCCCCTTCCTTTTATTTTTTTAAGATTTATTTGTTTACTTGAAGGGCAGTTATGGGTGTGGGATGAGGGAGACACACAGGGACACATGTGCATGCACACACACACACACAAACACACAGGGAGAGAAGAAAGATTTTCCATCTGCTGGTTCACTCCCCAAGTAGCCACAATGGCTGGGACTGTGCCTGGCAGAAGTCAGGAACCTGGAAAACCATCTAGGTTTCCAGTGTGTGTGTCAGGGGCCCAAGCTTGGGCCATCTCCTGCTCCTTTTCCAGGCATGTTAGCAGAGAACTGGATCAGAAGTGGAGTAGCCAAGACATGAACTGGTGGTCACATGGGGTGCTGGGGACACCGGCGGTGACTTAACCACCTGTGCTGTAACACCAGCCCCAGTAAGAACATTTCAATCCTGTGTTTTAAGGACTTTAGAGTCCTCGTATACAGTGCGTGACTTTCATCTCCATGAACATGCTGTAAATGACAGACCCTCCTGTGGGTGTTTTGGGTCTGGGTATTCCTGGGTGTGTTGCAGCTGCTGTTCCTTGTCCGTTCACCTGCCAAGGGGCATTCATGCATTTCCATTGTCTTGGCTGTCTTGAGCAGTGCTGCAGTGGACATGTAAGTGAAGACATGGCTCTGCTATATACATATATGTATTCTTGTATATATCACACACATATACACATGCATATCACACACATACATGTCACACACAGATATCACACACATGCACATACACACATTACATACATGCACATATACACCTTACATGCACATGTACATAAATCCGGATGTGGGCTGGTGGGGTTGTGGGAGAGCTTGAGTTGTTTTTAGCTTTTAGGGACCCTCCGTGCTTGTTTTCAAAATGCTGTACTGACTGACGTTCCCCTGAGAAGTGTGCTAGATCCCTTTTTCTGCACCTGTGGCCTGGGTCTTTTGGTAATAGCCAGTCTGATGTAGTGGCCTGCTGTCTTATATGGTTTTATTTTTATTTATCTATTTTAAAGATTTATGTGTTTATTTGAAAGTTAGAGTTGGAAGAGAGAGGGAGGGACAGAGAGAGGGCTCTTTCATCTGGTGGTTTGCTCCCCAGATGGCCGCAATGGCCAAGCTGTGCCAGGCCGAAGCCAGGAGCCAGGAGCTCCTGGATGCAGGGGCACAAACACGTGGGCCGTCCTCCACTGCTTTTCCCAGCTCATTAGCAGAGAGCTGGATCGGAAGGGAAGCGAGTGGGACAAAAACCAGTGCCCATGTGGGATGTAGCATCTCAGGTGGCAGCTTACCCACAGTGTCACAACACTGGCCTCTCTGCTGCGATTTTAATTAAATTAAATTTATTTAAATTTAAATTTAAATTATTATTTAATTAAATTAAAATTAAACTAAATTAAATTTAATTTCTCTGATAATTGGAGATGGTTACTTGTATGTCTTCTTTCAAGAAGTGTCCATTCAGGGGATGTTTTCTTGTTACTGCTTCATTGGAGTTCTTTGTATTAAGATAGTAGCCCCTCACCTGATAAATGATTTCAAATATTCTCTCAGTGTGTGTGTCAGTTCTCTACTCTGTTGCTTGTTTCCTTTGCTTGGAGAAGGATTTTCTTGTATGCAATCTCATATGTCTATTTTTTGATTTTGCCGCCCATGCCTTTGGGGTCACATCCAAGAAATTACTGCTCAGATCAATGCCATGGACCTTTCCCTCTGCATTCCTCTAGTCATTTTAGAGTTTTGGGTCTTATGGTTAAGAATTTATTTACTTATTGGGATATGTGTTTATGTATGTGTGAATGTGTACATATATAGATATCAAGTCTGTAGCACAAACCACTATCACAGGCATTTAATTTTAATTTATTTTCATCTTATTTGAAAGGCAAAGGAGTTTGAGAGAGAGGGGGGGGGGAAAGGGAGAGAAAGGGAGAGAGGAGAGGGATCTCCCATTTTCTAGTTCACTCCTACAGTGCCCAAAATGGCCCCAGGGCTGAAACTAGGAATTAGGAACTAAATCCAGGTATCTGACATTGGTGGCAAGAACCCAGTTATTCGAGCCATCACCACTGCTTCCCAGGGTCTGCCCTGGCAGGAAGCTGGAGTCAGGAGCCTGAGCCCTGATGTGTGACATGGGTGTCCTAAGCACTAGGCCAGATGCCATCCTTTAGAAGGTGCGTGGCACAAGGACCCTGTCTCGTTCTGTCCTGTGTTCCCAGCGTTTTGGCCGTGACAGGCAAAGGGCTTTGTGTCTTGTGGTGTGGATCATGAACAGGTCCTCTTTCTCCTGCTTCTCCCCTGAGTGTGTGGGTTCTGAAGTTGTGTTCCTGTTCTTTCTTGTGAGCATGTCCCCCTCAGAATTCCCCCCAGCTTCTCTGGGGAGTTGTTGAAGATCTCAGAGTTCTCATCCGCGCGTCTCTGGCTCAGCTCCCTGCACGGCCATTCCATTTGCTTTCCTGTAACAGGGAGCTTGTTGGGTTCTCTCCTGCTACTCTGTGTTGGGCGGCTGGGGCGGCTGGGGCTGCTGGAGCAAAGCACCACAGGACAAGTGGCTCAGGCAGCAGAAATTGCTTTCTCATGTCTGGAGACTGGGAAGGCCGAGACCACGGTGCTGGCAGAGTGTGTTTCCCGCTCACTGTGTCCTCACTTGGAGGAGGCCGAGGGGAACTCTGGTGTTTCTACCTCTTCTTATCAGGGGGAGACCCCACCCTCCTGAGCTTAGCCACCCCGGCCACCTCCCAAAGTCCTCGCCTCCTCATGCCCTCACCTTGGGGTCCAGGGCCTCAGCACCTGGATTTTAGAGGGACAGACAGTTCAGTCCATGGCAGCCTGCATAGAATTTGCTGTCTCTCTGCAGTGTTTGATGAACCATCAGGAAGTTCCTTCGGCTTGTGCTGGTGCTTAAGAAAACAATTTCTTTATGTTGTTCACAAGCAGGCTTAGCACTGGGTGCGTTAGCAGTGGAGAAAGTCAAGGGGATGTCTTACCAGGCTTCAAGCATCAGATGCGGTGGATTTTCTCGGTTTGTGCGGTGCTCTGTGCCTCTGCACTGCGTGTTCCTCTCAGTGGGCAGTGGGTAAACAGATCCTGAGTTCTCCCCCAGAAGGGAGTTGGGCATAATGAGTGGTGCCCAGGGCCGGGGTCCTGGGCAGGCTCAGCAGTCAGACTCCCAGTGGGGTTTATTTGTGAGCAGCAGGGGGCAGTACCACGTGTAATGTCGTTGCCTAGGAACAGCATACAAGCTTCCAGTGGACATCTGAGCTCTGTGGGTTTTGGTGGCACCTTCAGTGTTCGATACTGACCTGCTTGGTGGTGTCCTTGCCTTGGTGTCTGTCATGGGAGAGGCTCAGGCATTCCCTCTGCCATCCTAAGTGGAGAACGAAGTGGCAGTTTGTGGCTCACATGTGGGAACACCTTCCTCTGGCTTTTGAAATAAAAGAAAATTAGAACTAGCATTTTGGATACCCTGTGGTTTGTAAATGCAATGAGGGAGCCACACACCTATGTGGGACAGGACATGTGTGTGTGTGTGTGTGTGTGTGTGTGTGTGTGATGCCCCCCTTGCTGATCATGGTTAACAGAAGCGCAATGCTGATGTTTGCACAGAAAAAGGCAGAACAGGCCAGGGTCATGGGAGAGCAAGGTGGACACCCAAGGACCATGGGGATTTTGGTGCAGGCTGTGAATTATCACTTGCAGTTCCACCTGTGCAGTCACGAGGCCACCGTGAAGCCCTCGTCTAGGGAAAGCTTCAGGCTCGGGGGCAGAGGGTCATCTGTGGCCTCCTGCAAGCGGGAGCTGACCCTGCGGTGGCTCTCAGTCTGCCCCTCTCAGAAGCATTTAACTGGGGAGTTAACTCCATTTAACTGTGGGCCCCGTTTGCCCCTTGGCAAGGACTCACACGAACTCAGGCTTCTGGAATGAGGTGTTGCTGTTTGTTTTGCAGTAGGAAGTTGTGCTGGGCTCTTTCTTCCTGTGATTCCTGTTCACTGTCCCACCAACAAGTACAGCAGAGAGCAGGCTGCTGGATGCTGTGGAGGCATGGGGGGAGTCCCTGGTGCTGGACGTTGTTAGGTGCCCTCTCGCACCAACTCTGTAAGGTAGATACAGGTTTTCAGTCAATGCTTGATAGAAACAGTTAGAAAGACTGCTCTTGCTTAAAGATAGAAGAGAAAGGACAATCCAGTGCCATGCACTGTCCTTTTTTTTTAAAAGATTTATCTTATTTATTTGAAAGTCAGAGTTACAGAGAGAGGTAGAGACAGAGAGAGAGAGAGATCATCCATCCACTGGTTCACTCCCCAGATGGCCACACGGCCAAAGATGCATGCTTTGCAACTGTTAGTTGACCTCTACATTTTGCTGAGTGTCTCTTTGG